ATTCAGAATATGCAATAAAAAATATGTGCAACGACCCAATTAAAGATTTCATCACCCGGTATAGTTGTGAAACGAATTTAAAAATTAAATTAATAAATATAGTTTTTATATAAATTTTAGAGGTGTTTTACTCCGTCGGAAAAATCACTTTTCTTTCAAATCGTTATCTACATGAGTTGGTGTAACCTTATAAAAATAGGACAAAATCTTTGAAAAATGTTAATTTTTTAATATACCTTAAAGCAGGACAAAATTTCTAATTTTAAATGTTTTTAAAAAGTAAATTTTATTGTCCGAAATCGTATTCATATGTGTGCTAAAGTGGTCCAACAGAAAAACAGGGTAAATTTGTTAAAAAAGTACTTTGAAAAACAGGGTATATTTGCTAAAAAAAAATGATGTGTGCTGAGGGGGCCTAACAAGAAAAAAGTCTTTAACACAGGGAAAAATTCCTAATTTTAAGTGTTTTTGTTTGAACGAAATCGTATTCACGTGGGGAAAAACGGGGTATTTTCCTTAAAATGTTGATTTTTTTGAGAGGGTTAATGTTATTAAAAAGTTACCTTGAAAAACAGGGCAAAATGATTAAAAAAACAGTGTTGTGGAGGGGCCCTACTCAAATATTATGTCAAGGTAGTTGGATATTTTTCCAAATGCAAGAAAAATAATTTTTGGAAGTCTAAAAATCGCCAAAATGTTTGTTCTTCCTGAACAGATCAACGAACTATGTACACAATTTGATCACTTTTTAATTCCCTTCTCTATTTCGAGCCAAGTTAGTAAAATATTTAAACAGTATGTGCCATAAAATGCCTCTTGAAATATTCAAAGCTCCGTAAACACGCTTTTAAAACCGAAAATATAATCGCAAAAATTTAATAACCTTGAAACGTCAGGTGCGATTGCGGCTCGTCGTAATTCAAATTGCAATAGAAGTGGCGCGTCTATTTTTGTGAATTTTCTGGCAAACTTTTCGATTCTTGATCGTTCCGAATCAAAAGCAAAATAAATAAAAGATGTGTCAAACAGGTAGCAAAACGTATTCTAAATAAAGAACGCGGATATGTTAGTACAGTCTGAATCGTCATAAATGTTGCGACATGTTTGATTCTTAGTTCGTCGACCTAAACCGTGTCGTATTTCGTACACGATCAAAATAAAACGATGAGAAGTTATCGTAAAGCCCCAAAGGAGGTTTGTTTATCCTTGAGTTTATGTAAATAAAGGAGGCATTGAAGAAATGACAGGTGGGGTGGAGCTTAAACTGAAGGCTAAGCTTTAAGGATTTTTTCGTCCCTTGGACTGAAAACTTTCTCATAAATTTTATGGGCGACAAAATTAAAACTGAAAATATTTTGTTTTTATTTCACACGCTCAAAAATCACAAAAAGGATTAATATTGATGTTATTTTGTTTGTTTCGATCGATTTAACTGATTTCTTAGCAAAATAAGGACAAAAATGAGCTGAGAAACCACAAACTTTGACCGAAGATGCTCTTAAAATCTCATATTTTTCAAACTAAAAAATCAAGAAATTAAGTCTAGAATTACATTATTTTTGCATTTCTCGGGCGTTTTAGGACGTTTTTCAGCTAGAAACGCAATTATTTCGTAAAATTTTGTTGAAAACAAGCCAAAAAAACACAGAATTAGGCCGAAAATGATATAATTTTTTCCTTTTTCGAAGATTCGAGCAGCTTTTTAAGCTGAAAACTGTGTTTTTACGCGAGAGTTAGCCAAAGCGTGTTAAAAATCGCTAAATTGTTATAAAAAAATATTATATTATGATATTTTTACCTAACTCTTAGACTCTATGTAAATAAAGGAGGCATTGAAGAAATGACAGGTGGGTGGAGCTTAAACTGAAGGCTAAGCTTTAAGGATTTTTTCGTCCCTTCGACTAAAAATTTAAAAAAACAAAATTTTCTTATAAATTTTATGGGCGACAAAATTAAAACTGTTGTTTTTATTTTACACGCTTAAAAATCACAAAAAGGATTAATATTGATGGTATTTTGTTTGTTTCACTCGATTTAACTGATTTCTTAGCAAAATAAGGACAAAAATAAGCTGAGAAACCACAAACTTTAACCGAAAATGCTTTAAAATCTCATATTTTTCAAACTAAAAAATCAAGAAATTAAGTCTAGAATTACATTATTTTTGCATTTCTCGGGCGTTTTAGGACGTTTTTCAGCTAGAAACGCAATTATTTCGTAAAATTTTGTTAAAAACAAGCCAAAAAAACACAGAATTAGGCCGAAAATGATATAATTTTTTCCTTTTTCGAAGATTCGAGCAGCTTTTTAAGCTGAAAACTGTGTTTTTACGCGAGAGTTAGCCAAAGCGTGTTAAAAATCGCTAAATTGTTATAAAAAAATATTATATTATGATATTTTTACCTAACTCTTAGACTCTATGTAAATAAAGGAGGCATTGAAGAAATGACAGGTGGGTGGAGCTTAAACTGAAGGCTAAGCTTTAAGGATTTTTTCGTCCCTTCGACTAAAAATT